CATCCCGGGCGCACCGCTCCCGCCCCGCTCCCGCCGCCCCACGGGCCGCGCAGCCACTCAGGCCCGGCCTCCCGTCACCGCCGCCAATGGCCGCGATGGGGGGCGGGGACATGTAAATGAACTGGCAGCTCCGTGGGCGGGGGCTGGAGGCCCAGCACTGCCCCGGGTACGCGCCGCCCCGGGACCCTGGCCGCCTCGGACCGGGGTGTGGGGGTTGGCCTGGGTGAGGGAGCACCCCGGGATCCTGCGTCCCCTCTGCGCGCTGTGCACCACCCCACCCGGCCTGACCCAGCCCAGTGACACTCCAGGGCGGCCTCCGGACCTGGCAGGAGTCCTGGTTGAGGGTGTTGAGGCAGAGAGCCTGCATGGGTGGGCACCTGGGATTCTGCCTTTCTCAGCCAGAGATGTCTGCCACCTGGCCCGCTGCCCTCCCTGCTCTGTCCCCTCTAGGGCAGGCGGGTCCAGGAAGCTCCAACGATCCGGCTTGGCAAATAAACCCGGCTGCACCGGAACGCTCTGGGTGCAGCTGACAGCTGGTTATCAGAAGCAGGACACAGCCGGCGCAGGATCTCCCCCCCAGCGTCCGCCCGTTGCGCTGAAGCCTGGCGACCCTTGAGGAAAAGGAAGTCGGTGTCAGCCGACAGCAGGCCCTCTGAGGGTCCCCTTCCTTGGGCTCTGCCCTCAGGGGTCTAGGAGGTGGGAGGCCCCTCCTCCAAGCTGTGGCGGGCCACTTTTAGACTTCCCACCCCAGGCTCCGCCCCAAGGTGGCCAGTGCTGATTCTCCAAACCCCAGGCTGGTCCCTGGCAAACCCCTCTCCAGGGCTTGACACCCCCTCCCCACCTGGGCTGACTGGAGCCCTGTCCCAGCACCCCCACTCAAGATGCCCTGGCTTTTGAGAACAAGACTGAAGCAATCAGACTTTGGGGACAGTGGGTGCAGAGGGAGAGTGCTGCTGGGATGGGATGCCTCTCAGTGTTCCTCTGGGAGCTGGCCTGGCTGTCCCCAAAGAGGTGACAGCTGTTACCAGAACCCTGGGCCCTTCAGAGGCCAGAGCCCTCCCAGCTGGCAGTGCCCAGAGCCCAAATAATTAGCTACCTCCTGGGCTCAGAGGCCTGAGAAAACACAGATGGAGGGACAGTACCAGAGAGTGATTCCTCGAGAGGCCTGGCTATGGAGAGCTGCCCTGTATTGAGGGCTATCATGTACCAGGCACACATCATCCTCGAAGCTATCCTGTGCAGTGGGTGCTGCTATCGTCCCCAATATACAGATGGAGAAACCAAGACCCAGAAAAGCAAAGGGATCTGTCCAACATTGCCAGGCTAGGAAATGGAAGAGCCAGGATTGGCCACAGGAACTCAGCTCTAGAGAATATAAACTGCTCCATGGTGGGTTGGTCCAAGACTCCCCTGGAGACTCATCCCTCAGAGACCCATCAGAGCTGGGGGGGAGCAAACCTGGGGAGACCCTCTCAGAGCCTCCCAGGTCTCCTTTTCTTGTCTCTTTTCTCTGTCCCCCTCCCCACTTCTTCCAGGCCAATCCCCAGATGAGCATGGAGTGGGTCCTGGGGCAGGGGCATTAGGCTCCCACTGCTGCAGCCTTGGTGACTCCAGGTTTCCCACCCCCTTGAGACCGACTTTAGGATGGTTGGCCCAGGATCTCAGCTGGTGGCCTCAACAACTGATGCCCACTGGCCCAAGGGTCTTGACAGGCAACTCCACATAGCTGCTGCCCAGAGCTTGCCCAGGGCATGGAAATCCCGAGGAGTTTGGGTGCTTTGGGGACAGGGGCTGCAAGTAGGACATCCTAGGGGTGAGTGTGGATGGGTTGACCAGGAAGAGGGAAGGAGGCAGGAAAGTCAGAGAAAGTGAGAGGCCAAGAGGGGAAGGGAGCTTCAAGTGGCAGGGTAGATAGACTTGCCCCAGCAACCTTTTGAATTAAGAGAGTTTGCATAAAAATCTGGGTCTCCAATTTCTCTAGAAAATGGGGAGTTCTGGGTGCCTGCATCATTCTCCCCCTCCACTCTCTTGCCTTCCAGCCATCCCCTAATCTTTGATCATTACATCTCTTGGTTCCCCAGTTTGCCATCTGTTTCACTCTTTGGAATGTAAGTTCTCTCGGCACAGGAAGCAGCTTGTCTTGGTCATTGCTGTATCCCTGGCAGCCAGCTCCAGGCCTCAATAAGCAGTTATTAAATTGGCAAAAGAGATATGAGTTAGAAACACAGGCCTCAGGGCCAGCCCGTGGCTCACTTGGGAGAGTGCGGTGCTGATAACACCGAGGCCGCGGGTTCGGATCCCACATAGGGATGGCCGGTTTGCTCACTTGGGAGAGCATGATGCTAACAACAAGTCAAGGGTTAAGATCCCCTTACTGGTCATCTTTATAAAAAAAAGAAAGAAAAGAAACACAGGCCTCACTTTAGGAGGACATGTCATTGCTAACAAGAATTGAAGGCCGAATGTACCTCAACATGCAATGAGAGCAAGACCAGTGTGACTGAATGGTGACGGCACGGCTTTGTGGAGGAGGGGGGATTTGCACTGGGCTTGAAGGTTGAATAGGAGTCCAACAGGAGAGGAGACAGGAATGTACCCAGGCTCAGAATGCCAGTAGGTGGGCACTTTGAGCTGAAGAGGCCAAAGCGTGGTCCAGTTGCTTGGAGGAAATGGGAGATAATCCAGTTGGTAAGGTAGGAGGGTGATTGTAAGGGAAATTTGAATATTATGCCTAGGAGACTGGAAAATGTCCAGCAGGAAATAGGGAGCCATGAATGGTTTCTGAGCAGAGCAACTGAGAGAGGACACTGTGCTACAATAACACTGAGGAATGGCAGGAGAGGATGGAGGGTAGGTCCTGTGGACAGGGAGATGAGTGTGAGGGGGACTTCAGTAACCCAGGGACAGGTGATAGGGATGGAGAGGATCTCCAGGAGAGAGGATCTGCAGGCCCGAGTCGAGGAGGGAAGAGTTAGAGTCTGTAGTACAGAGACAGTGCTGTGGTGGACTAGAGATGGCAAACTCTTTGTTTGCTACTCCTCCCAATGAGGAAGGAGGGTCTGTGTCCCCTGCCCTTGAATCTGGACAGGAACTGTGATTGCTTTGACCAACAGATACAGCAGAAATGACTCTGTGTCCATTTTTGGACCCCAGATCTTCCTGACTCCTGGAACAGCTGTTCTTGGAACCTCACTGCCACGCTGGGAGAAAGCCCAAGTGGCCAGTGGAGAAACCCACATGGAGGGGAACTGGTATGCTAGGCGTCTTGTTGGTGGATGCCCCAGCCCCAGTGGATGCCATGCAGAACACAGATGAGCCATCCCCACTGACCCCTTCCTGAACTGCAGGTTCATTTGGGGATGTTTGTTACACAGCACTAAATAACTACAACAGGCTGCCAGCAAGGGCAAGGGAAGGGGCCAGTTTGGTAGGAAAGGACAGGAGGGTGGCCTTGGCCAGACCTGGGGATGTTCCGATTCCACCCTCTGACACCCCGGGACCCCTGTCCCCTTGCACGTGGCCTCTAGCTCCTTCTGACTTGTCCTTCTGGGTGTCTGACCTCCTTGTCCTGTGTGTGCAAGACGGGGCATAGGCAGGAATGAGAGTCTCTGCTCAGAGTCCCCTCCTCCAGAGAAACCTCCCTGGCTCCTTCTGCCTGCACTTCTTGCTCCCTGGATGCTCTTCTGTGGGTCTCCTGAGGGTGCTGCCTCTGCACAGCCCATGAGCTTCCTAAGGATGGGACCCACCCTGCCTGCTCCTGCCCCACCAGGCACTGAAGGCAGAGTTCTGTGACTGAGCAGGAGAGACTCAGTGGCCCTTTGGCAAGCGGGGACAGTGGCAAAGCCTCCGAAGCTTGTGCCCCTGGAGCACCTCCAAAAAAGTCAGTCCTATAGGACTCAGCTATCTGTATTCTTGGGCTGGGAATGGTGCTAGAAGGGCAGAGG